TATACTAAAGGAATATTTGAGCATATTTCAACAACTTAGTAAATACTCTGATTTGCTGAGACACATCTGAAAGAATGAATTAACCATTGACTGCTTACTTAAATTTTTCTGGTTCTGTTTGTCAGCACAAAAATATACTTGCTTACGTTTTTCTTGCACAGCCTGAAAGCTCTTAACTTTAGCTATGAGGCAGTTTAGGAGACATGGCTATCAAGAGATAAATGCTTGCCAAGGATCAGAGGGAATTTGGATTTGCCTTAAAATTAGAGAGGGCCTCTCTAATATGCAGCTGATTTGGCATGTTCAAAATAAGATTGAGGTCTTGTTTGAATCTGGTTAGTAATTCTGTTTAAACAGAAATTACTGTTTCTAGCGAAAGGCTTGGGAGACTGAAGTCCACTAAAAAGAGGGTTACCTCAAAATATTGGGTGCAGTACTTTTGCTTAATCATGCTCCTTGCCCTACAACTTCATGACAGATGTCTGGAATGCAAATACATTAAATGGGTTTACTTCAAATAATACAATGGAAGGTATGTTGTTCTTTGGGCAACACAGCAGGGGAAAGAAAGGTGGATACGGAAACCCAGTTTCTTTCCTTTATTCTGACTGTGATTTGTAGTGCTCTGACCAGGAGGAGACCTTGGTATTCATTGTATTTCACTCCCAGTTCACCTAACAATAACTAATTGGATATATTTATTAAGAGGGTGTGAGTGATGCACAAAAGCATTTTAGTCAAGTAGTCATGTGAAAATTCAGTGTTCTTAATGTGACACACCAGGAAAATTACACACGCCATCAACTCCCCATGAAGCCTGTGACTAAAGAGAACAATTACTCGTTCATTTAGGAAAGAAATGTGAAACTGTCTTAAGCAATCACCTGCCTTAGGCAATGGGCCATGGAAAAATAATAATTGCAGGAACTTTCTAATAAAGGAGAAGCCAAAGTAAGTAAATGGACCATGGGGCTATGACTGGAATGGACAGTTCTCCTGGCTTGCTTTCTGTATCTCTTCCCTGCCCCTGTCCTCAGTCCTTTTCCCCTTATTTTCTCAATAGGGTAAAGAGGGGAAAGAAGATAAACTAACCCTTGTGGGTGAAACAAAAGCAGTTTTAATATAAACAAGGCGAAGCAAAAGTCTGCGCGTGGAAGCAAAAGCAAACAGATTTAGTCTCTACTTCCCATGGACAGGCGATGTCGGGCCTTCTCAGGAAGCAGGGCTCCAATACGTGTAGTGGTTCCTCGGAGGACCAAGGGTGACCCCACCCCCTTCCTCCTTTCTCCCAGCTTTATACTGAGCAGACGTCATATGGTCTGGAATATCCCTTTGGTCGGTTTGGGTCAGCTGTCCTGGCTGTGTCCCCTCCCAAGATCTTGCCCACCCCGTCCCACTGGGGGAAATATCAGAAAGAGCCTTGGTGCTGTGTAAGCCCTGCTCAGCAGTAGCCACAACACCAGGGTGCTATCAACACCCTGCCAGCTCCCGACATAAAACACAGCACCGTGAGGGCTGCTATAGGGGAAAACCAATTCCAGTTCAGCCAGATCCAGTACACCTGTATTAAGCAATGCAAAGAGGAGACTGAAGAATCAAGCTCAGTGCTGGTAGTTTTTAAAACAGAGCCCTGATAAAAGACAGTATCAGTGTAACAAATTATGGAAAGCAGGATTTCTGATAAACACACTGAAACACACAAAGTAAAACACAACCAGCATAAAAGCATTACAGGAGAAATAATAAAATACACTTCAAATAAGAGAGTAAAAAAAATACACTAGCAGTTCAAATTCTGACTGTTCTTAGTCCCTGCTGCTTTTACCTGAATCACAAACCTTTACATTGTTTGACTAAGAGGGCCACAATCAGACACTGAACTGAAAACTCACTGCACAACTGACATCAATTTAAGCAGCCACAAATTCAGAAATTTTTTTCTTCTCTATTAAATGCACGTTATATATTACAAGAGAAGTAGAAACGAGGACCTGAAAAAGAAACACTGCTCTGCAGTTTACTGTATTTTTTTATTTAGTAGTCATGTGCATAGTTAGCAGCACCATTTTTCAGCAGTCCCATGTCCACATGGGTCAATAAGGCAACAACAGGAAACACAAATGCCACTAAACTGGCAGTAACAACAAAATTTCTTAATGGTCTAAGGTTAGAAGTTCAGGTCAGCCATTTCAGATGCTCCTCCTAGTGCTTTCTGGCCACCTATGCATGCCTTTGGAAGCATTTACTACAGGAATTCCACAAACTGGTATCATGAAGATAAAAAGGCCAGTCTTGTTCAGATATTCAGTCTCAATTGCTCATGAGGACATCTGGGAAAGTTCTGCTTACTTAAATACTGTAAAATTAGCTTTGATTTAGATTCCTGCTGTTCATATGATGAAGAGCAGCATGAACTCTTGATATTTATCTGATATAACAGCTGCTTAAGCTAAGGAAAGAGCTCTGATACCCATGACAGCATGACTGTATTCTCCTTGTCTCCTCTCTCTTGTGCTCCCCCAACCGCAGCATACAGAATGAGACAAGAATAGTATTAAAAAAGACTTTGAATGAGTAAAGACATCTTCTGCCAAATTTGGTCATCTGCATCTATCAGTGTCCCAGAGGCCAGATGAACTAGAAAAGGAGTAGAAAAATCAATTCCATAGACTATAATGAATGCTGGGATAAAGTATCTTGCAGTAATTGCCATCTTTTCTTTTGTGCAAATTTCTCATAAGACCATTTTAATCTGTCTCTGAACCAACAGTAACAATTTGTAAAATGCTGCATAAAAATACTAAGCAAAATTACTGTTGATAAACAAATAACTTATTTTTAAAAAGCCTCTAACTCAGTCATTCATAAAGTAAAATATTTCAATATGGAAGGGCATTTTCTCATATAGGAAAGGTTCAGTCCTAAATAAAAAAGTTCCCTGTGACTATACTTGCAAAATCTAATGTACATGCTTCACTAAATTTGTTGTGCCTTAAGAGGCAACTAAGTGCAGCTAGGACATTAATCAACTGGTTTTGCCAAATTAATGCAAAAGTGTTACTCATCTGTAAGAGAAAATGCCGGTCATGGGAACTGATGATGCCTGAAATAAAAAAAGTGTAGTTGTGTCAAACTGGTTATAGAAGAAAATAAAGGTGAAAGGATGTAAATGAGATATGGAAAGTCCTAGAATAATATCCCAAACCAAAGCCTGAAGACAAGGACCTTCAAATGAAGACAATCACTACAGATATAAAAGAGGAGAGGACAGAACCTCCAAACTTACTTTCTGTGTTCTGAAAAACTAACAGTTTTTATTCACAACAGATTGTTAGCAACACTTTACCTATGATCTATCAAAGTGCCTCAGCACTGATGCATGGGGAAAGGGAAGATTTATCAGTTGGGAAATTTTCTTCCCTGCTACCTTTTCAGCTTCATGTAATTTCACTAATGATCTGGTTTGAGACTATATATTATGGTCTAATGGCCATTAAGTTAAATTCACTTTCAACTCTGGGATAAAAATCAAAGCTACAAGAAACATAATCAAATCGTGTGGCATCAAACTTTATACTTCCCATTTTCAGAACTGACAATTATCCAAAAAAAGAAAAGAAATTCACACATTATTCAAAACTCTCTTTATTAAACTGTAAGTAACCAGCTGTCTAAATACCTGCCTCTGACTACAAACCAGAATTTAAATCTAGAGGTCAGACTGAAAGTGCAAAGATGGCCAAAGACTCAAAAAAAAGCCTTCAGCATGCTGTAGTACTGTCACCCACACCCTCACTGAAAATTTCACGTAGAGTCCCTTCTATAGCAGGGAAACAGAGGAGTGCTTACCCATTTTATTCCCATAAGCCAAAAAAAGGAAAAGGAGGCCAAGACCTCATATTAACAGCAAAAGCAGATAAATAAACAGTGAGACAATAATGTAGAACAGAGGGCAGCAGTCCCCAGAGCACAGTGATTTAACACTCCTGCTACCTACTACTGTGGATTTTTTCCTCCAAATGCAAGTTATTACTGAAGGGCTGAAGGGGTAATAAGCAGAGGTGTCAAAGTCCTACAGGGACTCAATACTACCACCCTCACTACATACAATTATGTCTTAGGAATGTCTTTTTCCACCAAAGTTCAGTTACTCTATTCAAATACACTTCCAGTTCATACTGTGTATTCAGCTTGGTAGCTCTTTTGGACTTTTTTCACAGCATGGACTCCACCTCAATAGATTCTCATGGACAACTACTTCTTTTTGCCCAGCCTTACAAAATCATTTTTCCTCCTACTGTGATCATTCAAAATTCAAGTTGGTTGTATGAAAAGGAAACCAACGCTCAGAAAGAATCGTGCCATTTCTTTCCAATAGGTTGAAATTTCTCCCAATACTAGGAGGGTGATCCCACTTTTGAAAAGAAATCATGCAGTAACTTCACAAACTGCAACACTAAGCACATGCATTGCACTTCAATAACGAGACCAAGCAGTAAGCTCGAAGTTGAACACATTTTCTCAGAGGAGTTCAAATTATATAAACACAGCCCTCAATCCACTATCTGGTTGCACCTAAGATATACCTATCTACCTGCAGAAACAAATCAGATGCGGTTTTATTTAGTTTCAAGCTAACCTACGTTATAAAAATTAAAATTTTTTCATCAATTTGCTTTTCAAAAATTTAACATTCCCAATGTATTTTCTCCCACTACTGTTATTTGACTTCTCCATTTCTACCATTTCTACCATTTAAATCTTAACACATACTCCTATATAGGGACAGCACAAATCTGAATTTTTAAATCCAAATGAAAAAAGACAGAAAAAGACAAAACCTAAGGATGTCATGTGCTAGCCTCTCAATCTGCTCTAAACTAAGTCTTTTTAAATAGCCACAATGGCTAACCAAGTAAAAGGTCCATAACTTATATGAATAACCTTTCTATTTTATATTTCTAAGGTTCCAGTTCTATATTATTACTTGTCAAGACATTTCCACTAGAAACAGTAATAGCTACCTTTAATCTGTCAAGTCTTCTGTCAGCAAAAAATAAAGTTACATTTCATTACACCTTGTGTGATGATGGAAGTTTCTGGACTCTCAAAGCCGTATCTGAATGATGAATACTGACAGAAATTCTTAACATAACTGTATTCATCAGCTGTATTTTTATGTCTTTATTGTCTGACTGCAGCAACCTCTCCCACTTCCACCTTTCCATTCTTGAAAAGTCTGTTAAATAATTTAAAGCTTTCTAATCCTTTTACCAAAGAAACAATTTTTTTCTATACCTGGCTGTTTGTTGTCTCTATTGAATCATCTGTTATTTTCAACTAATCAATCTAGTTTTGCATAATATATTTGCAAGTCACAACACACACTGGGGATGATTTTAAGCAAGTAATAACACGGCCCGTCAGTTAAGTGAACACATTACCGAGCTTAGACACCTGCCATTCTTTCCACTGAAGCACTAACATGAGTTTCCTCCTTCTGCCCAGACACTTTATTTCATAAACTTATACAATTACCTTTAAGACATCCAGTCCACCATCAAATCTGGCTGAACTAATTAATGAGTTCAAAAATTATCACAGGCGATGTCAAAAGACTGTGTACCAGGACAATGACACACCATAACAAAAAACCAAAACCCCCCAAAATTAAGGTGGTATTTGGAGGTAGGATGATGCACAATCAAGAAGCACAGAACTGCAACACTACAAAAAGCCAAAAATCTCGCATATGTACTCAACAACTTCAGATTAGGAATCACAAGAGCAAATTATTTAGATGAAAAATTCAAAACAACTTATCAAAGGTAATGTTAAATGGTAAAAAACTGAGCAAATATCAAGCTCCCTTGTATGGGTTATTTCTCTTTGGCTATACAAAGGAAGAAATTAGTAGTTTGAAATTCACCTGATTCATTTGACTTTAAGGCCTCTTTGATTTGCTGTTTGATTTTCATTGCTTCTTCGGCAGTCAAGTCCCCTTTTTTCAGTGTTACTACTTGAGGCTGCTCATCTTCTTTGTCACTGCCATTCTCACTATCACCATCTGCAAGTGGAAGCTGCTCTCTCTAGACAGGAGAAAAATAAAAGCAGTTCTAATCACCACACCAAATCACAACTTCTAAGGGGGGGGTAGTTCTCTTTGGTTTCACTTTTGCAGTAAGGTTAATAAAGAGACTTTGCACAGCTGTCAGTGCCCAGCCCTCCCAACACATGTTATCCAAATGACACTCCAATTCTATCACTGAGACACAGCATCCCCTAGATAAAAACAGTATGGACTTTTTCAATTAGAGGCCAAAACAGTACGAAGGGTAAGAAATTAATTGCTTTTGTTCATTACCTTTACTGTACAAGCATTGTCTGCCACGCAACACTGAGAAAATCTTAAATGCATGGGTCCAAATTTGAATCTTCATTGCTGTACTCAAAGTGCAACAGAAGAGGGAGTCCATGGTAGCTTTGTTATTAAAGCTGCCTAACCAAATCCCTGTGAACCTTATGGACACAAGGAAGATCATGTCCCTGTTTCCACTCTCTCAAACTTGTGGTCACAGACAGAAGAATCATTTGGGACAAATTTTTATAAAAATAAACTTTCTGGCACGGAAACCTCAGTGCAATAACGTAAAGTTTGGCAATAGAAAAGGAACTGAAAACTTCCTTTTATAAGGAAATGTACAGATGGTATTACCATAATTGATTGAATTTACAAAGAAATAGACAAAATACAAATTTTCCTCAGGAAGTGAAACAGTTCATACTAAATTTACTAAAGGAATACTTTTATGTCAAATTCCAACTTACCACAAATTTCTTCTTTTAACACACCACTGTGACTATTACTTTACTGACCAGTCTGGAGAGGTTAAGTATTCTGTAAAACCTTAGTTCACAGAAAACACGGAAAAGCATATTAAAAACAGAAAAACACAGTGCCCTCAGAAAAGGCTGTCTTTTAACAAGCTGGCTCAAACCCTACTGCCAGTACCCCTGATGCACAGAAACAGACTCTCCAATTCAGAGTTATAAAGCACGTATGTTTATTCTGGCACTGGGGTGCAAGGGGATTTCTCCACAAAGCTTGCACACTAACAACACATATTACCAGAGTGCAAATATACATATTCATAGAGTCACACAATACATATGTATTAATAAGGTCGAGTTAGTTCAAAAGGCTTGCATCAGCAGTTTATGTTATCTTTATGCCTGTGCATTGCCTCCTAGTGGTCGTCCTCGGGGGTCTTCTGGAGGAAGGCTCACACTCTTCCTCACCTTGAACTTTTCCCCCCCTTCCTCGGAGCATGCGCAGATTCTCCTAAATAATTTCTTGAACAAGAGTGGTCCCAGCCAGTTTACTCCCTCTACCTTATATAAAAGCATTTAGCATACTAGTTTCTATTGTCCAAACATGGCTATTTGTACTCTGCAAAGACTCAGCTTGTTACAACACATCTGCTTCCCAAGGACATGTCTCTTGTTTTTGACGAACACAGTAGTTCTTAGTAAGTTTCCACAGAACAGCCAAGGCAAGCAGGATTATAAATTGCTATAAGTAAATTGCACAGGAGGTGATAATTTCCCTGTATCACCCTGCCTTCCTGGCCATCACAGCAGTTTGCATCTGCTGACCTGTGTTAAAATGTTAACTGCTTTACAATATAGCTTTACAGCTATAATACAGCTCTTAAAACTTTTCTTGTTTCCTGCCTGTGCTTTATAAGGCCAGTTAAAACTTGGGACATCATTGCTGTTCCCCTCATTGCCCCCACAGACCACTTGGGCACTGACAGCTCTGCAAAGGGCACCATGATCACAGCTGCCATTATTAGGAACAGCAAGGGGAAAGGCGCTGCAATTTGTTGGTTTGCATCTCCAACACAGAAGCAAAAGCAAGTTACAAAGTCAGGTTCAGTTATTTTTAAGCGGGTAACTACTGTTCCCCCGTGTCCTACAGAGACAAAGCCCCGAAGCGCTGCTCCCCCACTGCCTCCTATGGGGCCTCTCCTCCGCCTTCCGTTTTAAGCCCGAAGCGAGGAAACGTAGCACGGGAGACCCCATGAAGCGAGCGCTGCCCCTTCTCGCCCCCGGGGCGGGGCCGACCGCGCGGCGGGAAGGGAATCAGAGCCCCGACACAAGCTCACGGGCAGCGGCAGTCCGGGGCGGGAAGGGCCGCGCTACCGAGCGTGGGGCCAGGCCGTTACCTTGGTTTCCACCGTGGGCCCCTCCCGATACCCGACCTGCCGCTTGAAGCGGCTGAGAAAAGCGGGCTCGGCCGGCCGCACGTAGGAGACCTGGTTCCGTTTGCTCATGGCCGCTGCCCGCGACCGAGCCGCGCTGCCGCCTCCTCTCCCACTTCCGCGCCGAGTAGGTGCGAGAGGACGGCGGCCTTAGTGGGACAAAGCTAACACGTCTCCTCCCGCAGTGTCACTCTCTGTCACGTGAAGGGGGAGAAGGCACTTTCAGCCAATAGCAGGAGAGAGGCCAGAGCGGGGAAGGAGGATATAGAGCGAAATGGCCGCGCCCACCCTGGCTTCGAAGAGGGGGCGGAGTCACGTGGCTTGCGACTCAGCGCTAAATTCAAACGTTCCGCCATTTTGGAGAGGCAGTGGAGGAGAGGTGCTGGGGTTGGCAGGGCGGCTGAACATAATGCCTCCCGGCCTGAGAGGTGAGGAGCGATGGGGCGGCTCATGGAGCGGTTTATGTGGCTCTCTGACTGCGAAGGGGCTGAGGGTGCTTCCCCCTCTGTGTGGGGAGCGGGCGGGGACTGGGGCGGCTCGGTGAGGGAGGCCGGCTGCGGGCTGAGGGAGCGTTTTGTCCTGTAGGGCCAACAACCTCCAGGCGTAACAACCTCCAGGCGTAACAACGAACGGGCTCAGGGAAAGGTGTGGCTGTGTTGACTGGGCTGCGTTGCCCTACAGAGAGGCCGAGTCCCAAGGGGTGCGATACAGAGTGTCCGCAGGACAGCCGCGCTGCCCCCGGGAAGGGCGATGGGGTTGGAGCAACGCTACGGAGAGGGGGGGTGACCCCCAGCGCTTCCAGAAGTGCTTCTGGCACCGATATCCCCTGGGGCTTCTCGTGGCTGATACGTGTAAGCAGCCTTCCTAAGTGGGAAGGCTTTACAAACCTGCTTGCTCTTAGCCCTCCCGCGTTTATTCGGCTTGTGTTAATTCTACAGAGTTTTCATTAGCTGTGACGTTTGTAACTATAGTCTCTTACAAACGTTCAAGGGAAGGCAGCTCTTTAAAATGGGAGCTAAGAACGGTTAGTTTAGAGTCGGTCATTTCTCAAGGTACAGGTTGTGCAAATATCTGTGAGTCTTATTTCATTTTTAAATTGCACTGCTTTTCTTGTACCAATTCGTTTTGATACCTTGTGCATTTGAAGAATAACTGAATTAGAAGCTATCACGTTTCTCAAATGTTGTGTGAATCAAAGCAAGGTTTGTATAGCAGCAGCAGAATTTATGTAGTATGAATGTTAATGAGGTTGGTACCTCTATTAAATCTGCTTTTAAAGGGATCCTCTTACAATAAAACCTGTGCACTTTTAGAGACTTTATAAGGTCTTTATTATTGGAATATTTTGGTAAATATTTTTTCATTGTCATTTATTTTTAAAATTTTATTATGCTACTTAGTATTTTGACTAACCTATGTGAAATAATTTCATGTCACATTCACCCTTAAGTAAATAATAAGCTACTATATCTACCTATGGGATAATTTGTGCCATGTTCTTGCAATGTGAAGCTGTGCAAAAGGATGCTCATGTGTACAGGAGAGATTTATGCATTCCAGAGTGCTCAATATTACTTCATAAAAGTGAAAGTAATATACCTCCTTAGTTTTGCAGGTTTGGGAAATGGAGTTTTTGCAGTCGTGTCAGTAAAACTATTCTATGTTATACTGTTGTTTTATCTGCAGTGAGTTAGCAATTTCAAAAATATAATGGCAGTATATAATACTACTAACGTTTATGTTCCTAGTTCTCCAAAACACTTGCAAAACCCTGCATGCATTAAGAGAATTCTCATTGCACATACATTTACAAGTATTTGCACACTCATAATGCAGGACTAGAGATTTCTCTACCTTTGCAAGAAACTTCAACTTTCTGACGAAGGAAGGTAGATAGTAAATATTTTTGTGCAGTACTGATTCATGCATGAAACGGATATTTATAAAGCTCTCCGTTTATCTCCCTCAATACTGCTTACAGTAATTTCTATTTAAATGGGGGCTTTTGAGCAATAATTTTATCTTGTTTAATTTGTGTGTGTGTGTTTCACTTTTGTAGGAGATTTACGTGACTCCGCATTAGCTCTGAACTCACCCAGGTAAAGTAGTATCAGCCAGTTCCCATGTATGAATAATCACTTTGCACAAAAAATGCAAACAAACCTAGTATAACTTTGAGAAATAATTTAAAGTTTTTTCTTTCAATGTTCTCCTGCACAAGATTGTTGCCTTTCTCTCCTAACTTCCTTATAAGTTTTTAAAAAAAAATAATCTCTTAATAAAAGTGATGTTCCGAGGTGCTAGATTCTTCCTGGAATGCTGCCATGCAGTAAATTCTCATTTGTTCCCGAACTCTTCAGCTGGACTCGAGATATTCCATGAGAAATTTCAATTCTGTGAGGAAGTCCTAACCTAAAACAAAAAGTCCTTCTCCAAATACAAATAGCTCATAACTCAGAGTAATATTATTAATGAAAACATATTTGGCAAGTTAGCATGGTGTGTCTTAAGTCCAGTATAACATCTTTACTTTCTCAGCTGCTTCCTGTTCTTTTTTTGCCCTTTCCTCTGCCACTCCCCAACCTCACATTTCAGACATGAAGTCCTTCCCCCACTTCTAAAACTATTCTGTTCCTTCCACTTGTTTACCAAAAATAAAAGTCAGTAACAGTTATAACACTTCTGTCCTATAACCTCCCTTTGGGAAAGAATGAAGTAAAGTAAATTCAAGTTTGCTACCACTTCATTTAATAATTTAATTCTTTACTATTATATCAGTATATTGGTATTTATGTCAGAATTCCTCAAAGCTTTAATATAATAGTGATGTACAGTTACTTATTCAAGCTAGATTTACTGGTGCATCCACTGATAAATGTGATGAAATAGGTTAGGGAGCTTTGATGTAGGTGCTGCTATACTTTATTGGATTTACGGATCAAGAATTGATTGCACTTTCCCTTGTGAGCAGCAAAGAAAAAAGCTGGTAACTTTCTTGCTGGAATGTAGCATCATCTGCTTCATATGTAAAGTCTTTTATAACTTCCAATAGTAAGAAGGATGTTTGAAGCCCATAGTCTTAGAAACCACTGAAACCTTTATTATAACACTAGTTTTATATATGTCAAGTTCACTGTGAAATGTGTTCTTTTAGAGCTAAAGCTGCGTGAGCAGCAGTAAATTCCAGTAACTTAATGTTCTCTGTTTTTAAATCTGCCACATTGTTACCTTTCATAAATCTGTGGCTTGTAGTGAATTGATGGTGTGTACACTAGTAGTAGTGTATTTTCAGGAGAGACCTTTGTATGACTTCACATGCTTAATTTGTTTCTCGTGATTTAATTTTATCAAACAGCTGATCTATTTCAAAGTGATCTAATGCATAAATATTAATTTAGTGTTGAAGGTGATGCTATCAAAGTTTATGTAAGGGTACGTCCCCCTTCAGAGGGAACTGCATTAACCGATGGAGATCAAGGCTTGTGTTTATCTGTTCTTTCATCAAATACCATCCGTCTGCATTCAAAGCCTGAACCAAAGATCTTCACTTTTGATTATGTTGCAAATATGGAATCAACACAGGTAATAAATTCCAAAATTTTATAATGGTATTGCTGTTTTTCCCTAAATGTTGGCAACTTCTACACTCAACCTTAAAATAAGCCTCAGGTCTTATTTTTGCAGTGGTCAGGCGTAGTTATACTACAGAAATGCTGCACTAAATTCTGCTCTAATAGTTTTAACGTATGTTTTTAACTGTTAATTTCTTTAAAGTTTGCATTAAAATTGAATTTTCTATTTGTATATATTACAGCAACACCATAGACAGAAAATAAACACCCCCTCTTGAGAGAAACATAAAAATAGCTGGCAGACAGTAGCTGATATTAAAGATTTGATTTGTGTTTTAGGAACTTATGAGTTTATATTCTATCTGTTATATTTCCTTCTTATACATTTGCCTTTTAAACAGATATGTTTTTCATCTGGGACAGCTAATGCTGCAAGGAAAATCTTTCAATTTAATTTTATCATATTGTGTTTGAAATTCTGAACATAATTTTAATTACTCTAAGACTTAAATTTCTGTTTAAAAAACCAAGCGTGCGCCCCCCCCCC